TGGCCATCATGTTTTGTTTCTAAAAGTGGAAATCATGTTTTGTTTCTAAAAGTGGAAATCATGTTTTGTTTCTAAAAGTGGCCATAATGTTTTGTTTCTAACAGTGGCCAGCATGTTTTGTTTCTAACAGTGGCCATCATGTTTTGTTTCTAACAGTGGCCATCATGTTTTGTTTCTAAAAGTGGCCAGCATGTTTTGTTTCTAAAAGTGGCCAGCATGTTTTGTTTCTAAAAGTGGCCAGCATGTTTTGTTTTTAAAAGTGGCCATCATGTTTTGTTTCTAAAAGTGGCCATCATGTTTTGTTTCTAAAAGTGGCCATCATGTTTTGTTTCTAAAAGTGGTCATCATGTTTTGTTTCTAAAAGTGGCCAGCAGGTTTTGTTTCTTACAGTGGCCAGCAGGTTTTGTTTCTAACAGTGGCCATCATGTTTTGTTTCTAACAGTGGCCATCATGTTTTGTTTCTAACAGTGGCCATCATGTTTTGTTTCTAACAGTGGCCATCATGTTTTGTTTCTAACAGTGGCCATCATGTTTTGTTTCTAACAGTGGCCATCATGTTTTGTTTCTAACAGTGGTCAGCATGTTTTGTTTCTAACAGTGGCCAGCATGTTTTATTTTTAGAAGTGGTCTTTTTTAAAAACCTCTGCTCACTTTATTGACAATAATTTCATATCATATATTGTGATATCTTAGACAGTACCAGAGAGTTGGGGGGGGGGGGGATGGGGGGGACGCCCATAACTTGAAGCACAGAAGATACTCAACCACCGCTCCTCGGTGGTAGAGGGCGAGGAAACAAACTAGGGTGTGGCTAAAGCTGTCCTGCGGAACCGAACATCCACCGGGATCAGTATTGACAACAGTTTCGTATCCTACAATTAAGTAATGAGACTAATTCCATAGAAACTAAAATAATCAACAGCTGAAGATATAGCTTGTATTTTATTTAAAGTAAGTCCCTAGTGCATTGACACAACTAGTGGCACATTCTAACAAACACTGGAACGACCTCTGTAGTTCTTCTGTTGCTATGGCCCATAAGGTCGATGTTACGGCCCTTTGGATGTCATCAATATCGTTAAAGAAGCGTCCGTTCAATTGAAACTTTAATTTTGGGAATAGAAAATAATCACAGAGAGACAAATTTGGATAATAGGGTGGATGGTTAAGAATACACACCTGTTTTGGGGCCAAAAATTCCTGTTTTTATGATGTCTTTTGGGTACTCAACCCGCCGATGTTGGTCATCAGAAAACGAATGCGGTACAAACCCGCAAGAAACTTTTATTCTTACCAAAATTTTACCAATGGTCCCTCTTTTAACACAAGATTCACCTGACATCACCCTGACAGTAAAAGAACGATCTTTTTGTATCCGTTCTGTGACTTTTGCAATGGTTTCATCATTACAAACAGAAATTTAGCGTCCAGGTTTAGTTGCATTTGTGATCATTTCCACACCACTTGTAAATACCCCCTGAAAATCTGTGCACCAGATAAACAGCTATCCCCATAAACTTGTCGGATCATTTCTACTCTCAATGTCGCTTTTTCCGAGTTTAAAACAGAATTTAATGTTAGCTTTTTGCTTCATGCTGATTTCGTAACATTGCTCATCTAACTAGGTCAATACAATGGCGGCGTGTTTGTTGTTTGCTTATCAGGCGGCGAAGCAAAGTTGTCAGATTATAAATGAAGGTTGCTACTCTTGATTCTATGCTCTGCTTCATAGTTGGCCCTTTTGTCTTGGTCGTAATAAAATCAGTCTCATTACTTAATTGTTGGACCTTGTATATTGTGATATCTTAGAAAGTACCAGAGAGTTGTAAAACAAAGTTTGGGGAGGGGGTGGGAGAGGGAGGACGCTCATAACTTGAAGTACAGAAGATCTTCAACAACGAATCTTCGGTGGTAGAGGGCGAGGAAACAGACTAGGGTGTTCCCCGTGTGGGTTTCGGGTTTCTATTATAGGGAAAACAAGAATAGACCCACTGCCCAGCTAAAGCATGTCGTGATGTTGTCGACGAACTGGGAGTTTCCTTCGAAGTCAGAGTGCATCTGCCATAACCTGCAAGGAACTAACAGTCTTCACACAAATGAGTCAGATCTGCCAAACGGATGCACACGCATCACTCAGGTTTAGAAACAGGACTGCAGTCCAGAAGTGGAAAAACAACCAGAACTTTCTGCCGGAGTTTACAACCGGTGAACGCGACGAAGAAGACCAGACCAGGGTGTGGCTTAAACGGTCCTGTGGACCCAACATCCACCGGGATCAGTGGTGCCCTTTGCTGTTTACAAGGGTGTCGCTGAGTAGAACCATTTCTTCTCCTGGCTACATAAAAAGGCTGTTCAGGTCTGAAACGCAGGCCAAAGCCACGTTTAGACGAGAAGCCAAGGCGAAACAATCATTGTGTGCATCGCAAACAAAACCTCCTTATGACATTGATGAAAGTAAGACTAGGTTCTGACAATGTGACCTCTAGACCAGGCAGATCCTTGTCGCTTACTGTAGAAGAGAACAATGTCAAGGACACCATTGTCGTAAAAGTTTACGAGACCTTTAAGTTGGCAAGAGACCTGCCAGCGCTGATGAAAGTGACGTCATGCCATGGACCTGTTGCATGAGTATCTTCTCTTCTTCTTGTTTACCAGCTCTAAACTCCGGCGGAAAATTCTGATTGTTCGTCCACTTCTGGACTTTAGTCCTTTTCCAGAACCAGAGTGTCAAGAGAACATTCATTTTACAGACCTTACTACTTTGCATGCGGACTGTTGGTTCCTCACCTCTCAGGCGGATGCACTCCGACGGAAGCTCCCAATCAGTCGACTCTTACGACATGCTTTAGAGTAGGCAGTGGGACTGTTCTTGTCTCTCCCCCCCCCCCACCACAATGGCGTACATTTGTATAGACCAACTGGCACTCGATGTAACATGAGGTAATCCTCACACCAGTCACATTTACTTACCTGGTAGTCATTTTGAGGTGGGGGTGATATTTGGATGCCTCTCCCGAAATGAGGTGACATAATGGAGAACGTTGATTGGAAGGGAATAGAACACACAAACAACCCAACGTTTCGACCAGTCTCTTTCACAAAAGATATTTTTGTTTGTTTGTATTTGTGCACAACTTATCATTTCTTTTCGTCAAGTACCACAGTCGTCATTTTGTGTAAATATATTTTTTGTTTAAATATCAGCTGGACTTCATTCTAAAGACCACTCCGGGGGTGTCAAGCCGTTTGCCTCACGTGCAGTCTTTATGGAGATCCCTGTGGAATCGTCGCCGGAGTTACAGATTTCGTGCTTTTTGTGCAGCTCTCGGCAGGCAGCTAAGCTCTCTGCCGAAAGAGATCAAGCCATATGGCGCATATGGGATAAAAACCCAGTGCAGTGAAGTCGCTTCTGCTGCTCATCTTTAACCTTTCCTTTATTTAGGGTGGTTGTCAAATGTCCCGGATTTTAAAGTCTTGAAAATCTGCTAACATTAACCAAAGAGGACAGAAATAAAGTGGACAGATCGCAAATTATGCAGGCGAGCAGCCTGACACAAAATAATAGGCTTTGGAATGCGAAGACAAAAGCACATTTAAAAAACAAAATGATGCAACAGAACGTCTATCTGGTTTCTGCTGAACCAAAACAATAGAGGGAGGCAGGTTGAACAGCCGCCTGTTCCATGCTTAGCCTTAACTGGTCAGCGCCGGTTTCCAATCACGTGACTAAACCAGACAAGGAAGGAGACAAAAATAGAAGTATGACGTCAGAGCACGAGTGTTGACAAATATTTCCGCCACTTTCATTGGCTATAGGTTTCCTAAAGCTAAAAATGGTGTGAATATTTGTAGTTGTAAAGTATATTATAATAATGCTTATTTATGTTCCAGGCGTTGAGCTTTTAAGCGAAAGAAAGCTTAATTGTTAATAAGCTGCAGAGGTATAATATATGTCTTAGAAAATAATTAACATGGGAAATAAAACACTGAAACGCTGGTAATATTCATTATTGTATTGTTTTCCTTTCTTTAAGTTAAGGATTGAGTAATTATATTATATTCTATGTTGGTAGTTATCAGTCACTGCATCTCATTTTTCAAATCAAGGGCATTATTCGCAAGGTTATAGAGCAAATATATTACTTTAATACCATGAATGGTGCATTTCATATCAAGGAGCCGTATAAAACGGTCAGTAAGCGGACAACTACAACTACCAGAACAGAGGATTAACAAAAACTCGTTTCATTAATGGGGGAGCGTTTCCCGGTCATCAAACCAGTTTTATCCAGCTGTGCCTTGTTTTAAGAAGACCTTCGCGGACGTGTATAGTGAAGCGACCACCAGAGCGCGTGTTTGACAATTGATTCTTTTTGTTTTCACATGTGTGTACATGTTTCAGTTGTTCACTTAGTTTTCATTAGCCTGTTTAATTTTAACGAAGGTAAACGTAAATTGGCATTGTGCTCATCAATAAAAATTATGATATTAGTGTCATGGTTATCGGTATATAGTATTTGTTTCGTTAACAACTTATTGTGAGAGTGAGTGAGGGAATAGTTTTACCATGTCCAGTGGGTTTTACATGCGTTAGTCGTTAATAATTGTTTTGTTGTAATTTACTCATTAGTTTTGCAATTGCTCGTTTCTGACATTGCTGCAATTAGTTTAAATTTTCTGATTGCTACCAGTTTTATCAATATAAATTCACAGCCTATGTATGCTGTTAAAATGTCATATTATATTGTCATATCATATTAACAAACATGTTTCTTTGACTATCTTTTCGTTTTAGATTTATTTTTTGAATTTAACTAGACTTGGGAGAAACATGCAATTATAATTTGTTAGTTGAAGGCGCTCGTCGTAGTAGTCAGCCATTAACTTTGAAGACTAAACAGCAGGTCGACATAATCTTGACTGTCACTGTCAGAGATTTCAAGTGTAACTGAAGTGGGAAATAACGGTTTTATTGAATCTGTTGGCCTACAAAAATTGACATGGCCGAAACTTGGAATACGTCGAACTACGAGGTATGTTTAAAATTATAATTTATTTATTGATTGTAATTTTTAGTTAACTGAATGTAATGTTAATAATTTGTTAGGTGTTACTAACTTACCCAGTTAGTTACTAGTCAAGTAGAAACTTCGGCACTCTTCCGAATACTGGTCCCAAATGATTGACTGTCCAAAACATCCCTTTTAGAGCCTCAAGGGGTTATAAAGAGGTTATACAAAATATGGAACACGAACAACAAAATATGGAACAATACTACCTTGAGGCCATCATCATCAGTTTCCACTTCTGCGCAATGTTTAAAGTTAAGCCACGTGGGGAGAAATAGTTTTCAATCCACTGCAGTGACGTGGGGAGGAATAATTTTCGATCCATTGAGATTAGCTGCCCGTGACATGACCATATTAAGCATTTTGCCGCCGCTATCGCAGCCTAGCTGTTAACCACAAGACCGAGCGAAAGGCGCAAATATCGCAGCCTAGTTGTAACCACAACATAACATGCAAACCACCCTTTTAAAAGCCACACAAAAAAATTTGCCGCCGCTATTGCAGCCTAGCTGTTAACCACAAGACTGAGCAAAAGGTGCAGACATCACAGCCTAGTTGTAAACCACAACACAACATGCAAACCACCCTTTTAAAGAAAAAAAAATTTAGCCCGCCAGAGAATCGTACCCCGATCACCCGCTTAACAGGCAGAATGCTTATTAACTGTACTAGTCGAAGACTCGGTAATTTTGTTCCCCAAAAAAAAAAGATTTATATAATAAAAGAAAGCATAGTTCGTAGCGTTCCTGTTCCATATTTTTAACTGCATGACCTCTCAAGTCCCTAACTACGACCTCTTGAGGCCCTGAATGGGATTTTTTGTCTTTGAATAATTTGGGACCGTTATTCGGAAGAGTGCCGAAACTTCTTCTTTCACTATATTATTTCATATCAGTTGAGGGGGGGGGGGGGGGGGGGGTAAGGATTGTTTGTGCGCCTTTTCTAATGCATTGTAATTGTACAATTTGGTGTTCTTTCACACTTTCTGTTTACTCCTCATGATGTCGCTCCATGTCTTGCATGGTCTTCCACTTGCTCTGTGTTCATTATATTCCTTCAGCGTGGCTCTCTATGGCAGCTGGTACCAGGACAACTAGTACAAATAAAAATTTAATAAACAAAAATTCAGTTTAGAAAAGTCGTTTAGCAATTCAGTATATTTTATATTTTTTGGTTTGGTTTTAGTGGTTAACATTGCTGCTAATCAAAGGTAGGTCTGGTTAGTACTACTTATAGTACAGTGTACAGCACATGAGCCACAGCCTATGAATACAGTGGGACACAGTGTGCTGTAAAACAGGTGCACACTGCTATAACCTGACCAACAGTTGCTTGTCTCTAGCAACAGATGTGTCGTTTACATTTTTTTAGGAGACATAAGGTTAGGGTGTGTTACAGCTTATATGGGTCATTAACAAAATATAAATATGCTTTCCTGTTTCCACTGTTCTAGTTTAGTTTGTGAACCCAGAGCACAACACAAAAACTAGTCACAAGCAGACAGGCACAAGTTAAGACATGGCAAACTGCTTTGGCCGCATTGGAGTTGGTGAAGTTTTTGATTTAGACTTGCCTATGAATGATTGGATGCATGTGTTTTGTACTTCTCAGAGCGATGGGATTTTGTGGGCTGTCTCTTGTAGGGGGCTACGATTCCTGACTTCCGGCATTCTTGGCCATATGGGTTTTAAGACCCTCAGGTTTTGTTTCTCAACTTTCTGTAATATAGTCATAGATACTCAAAATAAATAAATTCTATGATGTGCTTATTTCAGGAGGCAACAAAGTGTCTGAGGACTTGTACGACTGACCTTGGAGAGATGCGGGACATGATGGCCAGGCTTGAAAGAGAGGGGAGACTAGATATGTTGTTTGTTATGATGAACTCATTTCTTAGGCGTGGTGGCATTCAGGTACGTTTAGTTATGTTTTACTTCTATGTTCTTCGATTTCTTACACTTTGTATTTTACTGACGGTTTTAAATAAATTTTTATAGTCAAGATGCCAGAGCCAGGGGTTAATGGCAAACTGTTAAAGACATATTTTATTGTGCTCTGAAGGTCATAGGTCTGAATCATGACTGTGCTCGGTTCTAGAGTCAGTAAAATGAGCAAAGATACATGAAGAGTGTCACCTGAATGACAGTGTTTTTTTGTGTGTGACACTCTTGGCAGGTGGCTAGATGATCTGTAAATAAAACATGGTGCATCAGAATGGATCCAGTTGATTTTAAAGAGCAGATTCATATATTTTTTTCACTGCTGTCTTACAACAAAGTATGTTGTAAATGTAGCAGTACAGTAATTTTTCCTTTCTTCCGTGTTGTTAGTCTGAGATTTCTCTCTGTCATTGGTAGTCATCTTCGTTTATACCCCAAAAGAAGGGTTAACACAGTGGTCGTTGATCTGAAACTCCAACAAGGTGATTTCCTTTTTTTTTAATTGACCCAGTTTAACACAGCCTTTAAAAAAATAGTATGGGGAAACCCCATGATAATTACATCAATCACAGATGCTTATGAATCTAAAAGTATGGGATGGCAGTTTATACCTAAATTAGCTGAGCGTGAAAATAATTTGTTTACTTCTTACTTTTATCCTGGAAGAAGTGTTTTGAGCACTGTCTGGTATTCTTCCAGAAACTCTTCAAGAATTTAAGTGCTCACAATGTCTCTTTTACTTGGAACGGACTCTTCAAGAATTTAAGTGCTCACAATGTCTCTTTTACTTGGAACTGACTCTTTTAAGTGCTCACAATGTCTCTTTTACTTGGAACTGACTCTTCAAGAATTTAAGTGCTCACAATGTCTCTTTTACTTGGAACTGACTCTTTTAATTAAAAAAAACGGCAGCTGGTGCAGTGTACGCTATCTGTATCACGGTGATTTAATTGGCAACCTGCAGATTTATTAAAAAGCTTTCTATGCTTCGACTGGGGGCTTCTCACTGTGACGATCCCCATTTTCTAACCTTTGTCCCCCGAGTAAACTTAGTTGAGTAGCCTTGATCTATACTGACAGATTTTTGAATGATTCCATTTGGAACTTACGATTGTTGTCATTCAGGAGCATGAGCTGGAGAAGGTTTCAGTCATCCACATCGCAGGAACAAAAGGAAAAGGCTCCACCAGCGCATTCACTGAAAGCATTTTACGCCACCACGGATACCGCACTGGTTTGTTCACCTCCCCACACATGCACCAGATCAGGGAGAGGATCTGCATCAACGGCAGACCCATTAGTGAGGAGAAGTTCTGTCGTTACTTCTGGGAGGTCTTCAGGAATTTCAAGGACTCTGTGGTAAGCAGCTATTTGCAGTTTACCTTGTGAACTTTAATTATCTTTGATTAAAAAGGAAAGCTAGATTTGTCCTTTGCAGAATCTTAACTCTTTGAATCCCAGAGGGTTTAGCTTCACAGAACCAAGGGGTGTGTAGCAAAGAGAGACATAAATTCGGTGCATCGTGTGTACATTGGTCTTCTATGTATGAACTTGTGAACATATACTGTGTTCCTCAGGGCTTAAAGAAAGAGTTAACAAATCCATAAACAAAGAAAACAAAAACTTGACCAAATATTTTCTTTTCATCTTATATATTATGCCATGCTGGAGTCAATGTCTATCTCATGCTGTTACCTGAGTGGAGGTGACATCATTTATGACATGACAGATTTCTGAAATGATGAAATCGTCACTAAAAACTCTAAGCTGATATAACTGACATAAAAATGATGTAATTTTTCAGCTTTGCCAACTAGGAATTTACTGAGCAATAAAGTGATCACACATAACATTTGTATGTTCTTGCGATGAATTTCTATTGTCTTCTTCTGGCTCCAGTCATTGCACGCTTCCATTCACTGACTGACAACACACAAGAAAACATGGACGCTGGCGAACGATCCAAATTACACTTACAGTTTATTTGTTCACTCGCTGGTGTTGCAGCCAGTAAATGTTATTGGACAGAATAGTCACTCATATCTATCCTCACTTATCTAACATGTCAACTTAACCTTACAATATCTATATTCCATCCAACAATTGAATGAACAACAACGATTCCATCCGATCAAAAAACAAACATTCTCAGCTGGCTACGACTTCCGTTCGCCGCTACTGATGGCCAGGTAGGCATTGGAAAAACACTGTGCAGACATGTCAGACTTAAACACTCTTTCTGGATCCCACAGACACTCCATCATACTTCATGTATCCATTTCCTAGGCCTAAACAAGACTGACTACCAGCTCTTTCTCAGGCATTATATAACCTTCTAATGCCCTCATGCTTTTGAATTCGTGTTCTCCGTTATACACGAATTACATTTGGCCAGCAGTTTTTGTGTGACCCCCGTGAATAATTATACTTCACATGAAGTTTCTGTCACCACATTTCTCTACACGTAAATAATTATACTTCACATGAAGTTTGACTATCAGCATTTCTCTACACGTGAATAATTATACTTCACATGAAGTTTGACTGTCACCACATTTCTCTACACGTAAATAATTATACTTTACATGAAGTTTGACTATCAGCATTTCTCTACAATTCCTGTGAAGTTAGACTGTCAGCAATTCCTGTGTTGTCCCAGTCAGACTCAAAATATTCCACTCACATTTATTAATGATGTCATTCCGTCTAGGCATAATTTATCTAGGAGAAAATGAGATAAACTACAGTTCTTATGACACGTAAAAAATAACATGTCCTCTTCGTATACATATTTATGTGCAATACTTTGCTTGTTTCCTAAAAATTTTTTGTCGCGTTCATCCCCTGGGCAGATTGCGCTCAGTCTACAATAAATTTTGTAATGAAGACATCTGTAACAGCTACATCGTGCAGCACCCTGAATCCTTTGTGTGTAAAGGGAATGTTGAGGTGTTGGTTGGATAATAGTTGTACCCCACCAGGACATCACACAAGTGACAAACACCCGGTGGCACAAAGTGTCACCATGCAGATAAGGATAACCCGTTGAGAGGTCGCCAAAACCCCTTTCAGCTATTAGGCCACATCGATGGCTAGACCAAATTTATGCCCACGGCTGTATTCAGGGCCCCTGGCTGAAACAGGGGTGACTTAACGTTTGAGATGTGAATTTTGTTTTTAAGACCCACCCTTTATAGCAGAACTATAGTTACAAATTATTTCTTTAGCCTAAGTTGTGTGTGATCATTTGTCAGCTCGATTATTTTATTCTGTTTGTCACAGTTTGAGAGCTCAATCGAGGAAGGAGGTACCATGCCAGGTTTCTTTGATCTGCTCACAGTAATGGCCATGAGGGTCTTTATCTCAGAGGGGGTCGATGTCGTTGTCTTGGAGGTTGGCAAGGGAGGCTACACAGACAGAACTAACTTTGTCAGCAGGCCAGTTGTTTGTGGGATTACGCCCCTTGCTCTGGAGCACACAGAATCTTTGGGCAGCACGATAGAAAAGATTGCTTGGCATAAGGCTGGCATAATCAAGGTTGTACATCCATTTTATTAAAATATACTTATCAACCCCTTTAGGCTATGTGCTTATATTGTTTGTTTAAATAACATTTTGCCACTGCTTGTATATTATTTTTTTCTTTCACATTTGAAACTTAAAAACAAATTCCTAAATTGCATATACATTTGTTTCCTAGATTGTGAACTGTAGACAGCAAGAAGGATCAGTGTTCGGCACATGTTTTTCCTCTGTGCATAATATATTTTTGTCTGGGAATTGAATTTTTTATGTTTACTTGATTATTTACACACTTGCCCAGCTCATGTTAGAAATTACATTGCAGAAATGTGAATTTGTATGTATACGTTAGTGAAAACCCATTATATCTAATATTATTTATTCGTTTGTTTCTAGAAAGGACGCCCTGTTGTTACTTTACAGCAAGACCCTAAGGGGTTGCAAGTTATTTTGGACATTGCTAAACAGAAGGAGGTATGTGTTGACGATTGTTCTGTCTGTTATACAAGGTTTATATTTTTGCTGTTTTTTTTCCTTCTAAATATTAATTTCTATGAGTGATAGATACATGAGGCGTCTTTTAGGAAGTGTATGTAGAGTTTGTACTTAAAGTGCAGGTTTTCTTCAAATGGCTGTCATCCCCAGCAGTCATAGTTGTGGTGTCCATCTTGGTTACAAGAATATAGGATTAAACATATGGATGGAGAATGAATGCATGGTTCGCTGCTTTTACTGTGGTAAGTTGATTCATTTCAGCTCATGGTAAGAGGCTGAATGGTATTTATACTTCTGATAGTAATGAAAACTGAATCAATTTAAATGTATTTGTCAGATTTCTAACAGTTTTGTTTAAATACAGTTGATCATTTAATTTAGCATTGCTGTGTATTGTGTGGAGTTTAACCTGTTACATTTATTTTCAACTAGAAAATAACTAGATGATCTTTAGAGTTTTTAAACATGATTTTATAATGTCTGTGAATGTTTTCTTTTCCAAAAATGAATAATAGCACATATTAAAAATTTCTTGTATGTTTGTAAATTGATGTTGACTGGCACAATGTTAGCAACAACTGATTACAGGTGAATGATTGTTTTTCCCCTTTAGAATAAGTTTATTTGGTATGCTAAAATTATGTAATAGGTTGCAGGTGACATGTTTTGCTGCTGACCCATGGACCATACTCTGAATATGGTACAGAACTGAAGAAGCTTGCAACCAACCAAAGGTATCAGATACTGGTAGATACATTAGACTGCTCACTGAACTATTTATTTTGTTGGCTTGTGTTGCAGGCTCCTTTGTACATAGCGTTGCCTCTTCCCCAAAGTGCATTTGAGGAATACGGCTTTACTCTGGGTATTAAAGGACCGGTACAAGTGCAGAACGCTGGTCTTGCTGTTCAACTATTTCGGGCTTGGGAAACATGGAAAGGTATGTGTTGCCAGTACATGTGTCCTGGGGTTTGGGAGTGGCCACATTTAGTTTGTCAAGTTCTGACTACTAGTTTGTCATATAAACTTTAAATTAGTGAAAGTTTTTACTCACTTGTTTTGAGTCTGTATTCTTCCCAGTTCAGCTCAGCTGTCTACCAGTGTGTGAGCATTCCAAGACCATGACGGTGATTTTGCTCCTACCCCCTTCACTTGGGGCCTCACTGAATGAGGAATCTGAGCAATATTCTGAATCTGATGATTGTTGCAAGACGTAACACATCACAATTTTTTTCAATGTTCAGTTTAGATGTCTGTCAGTAAATTAACTCATTTTCATTTTTATAGTTTAATTTGTTTTTCAACTTTGCTTTAATCATTTCGTCATGGTTGTTTGAAATGTTTTAGTTGTGTTGAATTCTTGCAGGGGTTAATAAACCTGAGCTGGTCACTGGAGTAACTAAAATCACCTGTATCGAAGACATCCCTAGGCTGCGCAGTGGACCCCTTGAGATGAATGTCATCAAAGGTAGAAGAGGTTGTTTTTGTGTGTGTTAGCTTAGTTTGCTTAAAGTTTGTCTATTTAAAAGATAAATGTACAGTTTACCTTATTCAGAGACATATAAATAGTGTTAAATTTATGTGTGTGTACATTTATTATCATTATTGGAACTATTTTTGCATCTTAATCTGTCATATTGCTCATTATTATTGTTGAAGATATTCTCTGAATGATCACTTACTGTTAATGTATATTAATCAAGATTTGTATGTATATGCTATTGCTTGTTTTGTTTTTATCCATATTGTTTCTTATATCAGTGGTGGATGTAACATTAGTTAAACAATTCAATCTGTTTAACTTTTAGCAACAGCAATTTACATTGATTAAATGTGAACACTTGTTCACTTAAAAAAAAAATAATAACACTCTTACGGATTGTCTGTTGCTCTAGGTTTTTAGATGAAATTGTAGTTACATCCATTTCTGATAATCGTGTTAGTGGGGGAACAAAAACTTAATTTGATTCAAATAATTTTTTGATAAAGATTTTAAAAATATCCTGGGCTCACATAACTTTGTGGGTTCTATTGGGTTTTGAATTTGCTTTGTTGAAAATAAATTGTAAATTTTTTTTTACTTTCTGATAACTTAATTGAGATAGCATGTAGCAATTTGTTAGGTTTGTCCAGGGAAGGGAGTGCAGCGAATTGACGGGGGTCTGTTTGCTTTCAACCAGACCCCTTAAATTCGAACACTGCACCCTGTCTAATCACAAGGGCTCTCGAGGTGCCTGCTGCACGGACGCACGGAAATCATTCGCAGGGACCACGTCACCTATTATCTGGATTTTGCCCACACTCAAGAGAGCATGGAGGTATACAATCAAACCTAATGTTGACTGACATATTTACGGGGGTCTGTTTATTTCTTTTCTTTACTTATTCTGTTTTTTTTTTTAAATTATTTTTTTTATTTTCATTTCATTCGTCATTCTATTTCAATCATCATTCTCATGTTTTTTCTGCTAGCTTTTATTCATAAGCCCATCTCATTTTCACCTCTGATCTTACTTCTATCATAAAGTCAGGTTTTACATTTAAAATTTAATTTATTTGCTGTTACTATTAAAAATTGTAAATATTTATGTTATATTAGTTGTAAGAAATCTTCATAGGCGTACATTTTATTGCAATGGTAACAATATATGGATAAGTTTATATATATATATATACATGCTACCAGTATTTAACGGTTTACAATTTCTTTCTAAGATGTCTTAAGCAGGTTTACAGGTAAGTCCAGATGTTTTTGTTGTTGCTAACAGGCATTTATGCTTGAGTTATAGTTACACATTAGCCTGTTTCTGAACTCTTTTCCTTTCATATTTTCTCTTAGCACTGCACAGCATGGTTCCAGAAAGCTTCAGCTGAGGAGGCTGTCACTTTAAAGTAAGATTTGTGTGTTTCTCCCTGTGTGAAGTTTGCTCAAACAATTTTAACATTATTACCTGTTGTGGGTTCTGGGACTCAAGTTTTGGAGAATAAAGAATTGGTCTCATAACAAAAATGTTGTAGGGAGCAGCTAATTAGGGATGTTTCCTTTAAAGTGTATCTTTCTTTGAGGCGAGTAATCATCTGCATACAAATGAGCCAAAGCTGTGAAACGGATATGCACACAAAAGTTTGGGGGGTCAAGACCAAAGTCCAGGTTTGGATGAACAAGAACATTTTATTGAGTTTTGCAGCTGGTAAATGATTCAGAGAAGTTTCCTACCACCTCACACATATATAGATAATTTATTTTTTTAAATCAGCTTCCACTTTTGCCACTATACATCATGAAGAAATACATTTTGTGTTTCAGTCCTTCATGGGTGGCACTAACCCTTCTTATTCCGTGTGGATGTCTTTAATACCATCAGTTCATATCCTCCTTCAACGACCTCTTGCTATCCCATCATACATCTTGTAGATGTCGTGTATGTTTCAATAGTTATTGTAGCTGCATTCTTACAAAATGAGCATACCGATTAATCTTCTGCTTCTCTATGAATTTGATGCAGTGTCATTTCCTTAATCAGTTTATCATTTCTCACTCTGTCAAGTTGCTGGTTTTCTTCAGGCATCATATCTCAGATAGGTTAATTTTTCTTGGGTGAGCCTTTTTATAATGTTTACACTTGTGGCACAGTGTTGGTATGAATAGGTTGTTGATAATCTGTCCCTTGGTGATCATGTTTGGGCTTGAATGTCTGAATAAAAGTGGCATTTGGTTGATGTGTTCTATCCCTTTGTCTTTGTATCTGTGTTTCCATGTGTTCTATTCTGCCGAATATTCTAGCTAGATGTTTGAACAGCAGACAGTTTTACCTTGGTTTAATTGGCAGTTTTTAGATTCTAATTATTTTAGTCTTGTAAATGTGAAAAATGTGTGAAGTAGATTAATTGCATCACACATAAAAACTCCATTTAACAATGTTATGAACTTTCTGAGAGTCTTTTCAACTGAGAAGAAAACAGTCTTAAAGCGTGTGAGCTGCCATCTAACAAATGTGTTAACTGTGTGAAAGTCTTATGCATTAGCTAATTGCATATGACTAAAAAAAAAAAAGCTGTGTGATGGTTGTTACTTATGTATGGAGAATTTCTGTCTTAATAAATCACATGACTTAAATATAGGTGTTTCATCAACTCAGTCTCAGAGTGTTAGTACCAGGGAATTGTTACTGCAATTTCACAGTACCCATCTGGGAGTGTAAATTAATTGAAACCGTAAAACTTTAGGACTAAATAAAGTGTGCTAACCACCCTTTTAATGCCAAATAAAGCTGAACTATGTATATAGAACAAAAGAAATGTAGGGTTTCTTGTTGCCTGATACCCGCGGGTTAAAACACATGAGCATTATTTAAAAGTGAAGTAAATTAACCCTTCACACGCCTTTAGGCGTATTGGGTATATAAGGCAAGACCTGTAATTTATAGACCACTCAGCACTTAGTGGGTGATGTGTTTACCTTTAGCTTTTACTTTCCATGATTGAACCTGGTACCCACTCAAAGGAGGGTCGACCTGGAAGCCAAGGTCATTTGTGAAATAAGTCCAGCTCCGCCAGGACCTGAATCCACTACCTTCCAATCCACGGGACTCTACACATGCCGCTACACCACGACGACACCCATGATGATTATTTGGTTGTTATTCTTATACTTTTCTCTATTTACAGTGCAAAGGTTGCACGTGTGTTGCAGTTCTACTGCTTAAGTGTCAAGGATCCTCAGAAGTTACTGCCCATTCTAAAGGTAACAGCTTTTATTATAAATGTGAATTTAATGTGTAGTTCTTTTCAGAAGCTGCCGTTCATTTTAAAGTTAACAGCTTTTATTGTAATGTGAATTGTAAAGTGCTTGTATATGTTGCTTTGATGGTTTGTACATCGGATCATCTAGGCACACGAGTAGTAACCCATAAGTGTTCTGTTTTGCTTCTAACACTGGCCTGGGTTTGAAAAATCTCAGTGCAGTGCACGAACTCTATAGCACCAGCGAGGATTTTGGGTAGACTTTTAACTCCAAATTGTGCCAAGGCAGCGCCATTAGGCTACCCTTTAGATTTCAAAACACTAGGAAAATTAGGACTCACAGAAGGGTATTCTTGAGAAAAGCTGTTGATGTCACTAGATGACTGAGAAAGGTAACATTTGTTCAGCCACAGGAGCAGCACAACGTTTATAATTATATTAGTAAAGCAGTGTCGTGTGGTCGCCTAATGGGAATGAAAGCTGGACCTTTTAAGTTGGCTAAACCGGATTGCGCAGAGACCGGGTGACGAACTCCTTATGGTCAGAGTTCAGTCTCGGGGGGTAGGCTGGAAAGCCACATTTTCTCCCAGATTTACGGTATTTACAATGGAATCAAGGCCGAAAGGTTGCGATATCCATAATACTGAGCCTAGGGGTTAACAACTCATGGCTTCTGGATACTAAAACAAACAAAGATTGAGATATATTCGACAATAGCACTGGATGTTTTTGTGCCGGACGGTCTCAAATATCAAAGCCTAGCTACAAACTACAAGGCAACATGTCAACTGCCTTTTTAAGGGTAATCTATTGAGAAGAAAAAGAAACATCCGGATAGACACGCTTAGTTCAACAAAGACCTTATTTCCTCTTTTGAATTTGTGTGATAATTGGGGTGTGCTTTTCACCTAATCTTTTAATATGTATGCCAAGTGCAGGAATTCATATTTGACTGACTGCAATCATTTGTCTGTCCTACAGAACGTCCACTTTGATGGTGCCACATTTTGCTGGAGCAAAGCCTCTGACTTTGAACCTCTGGGACAACACTCAGGTAAATAAATTTTGCCTAGCATGCCTAGCCATCAGTCTGCTTTTCATCTGCATCTCGGAGTGCTTTATTCTATTTTATTCGTTTTCTTTGTTCACTCTTATTTTATTTGTCTTCTATGTTTGCCCTTAATAAGGCTGTATAGGTGTATTGTTTATAGTTCACTGATAGGGTGTGTTATCTAAGTATTGTTTATAGTTCACTGATAGGGTGTGTTATCTAAGCCCTTTGGCCCACCATGTCCGATTTCAGCAAATCCCACCTTTTTTGATATGTTACAGGACATTAGGCCTGCGCGTGCCCCTTTCCACCGGCCACCTTCTGCTCTCTTTTTCTCTCAAAATAGGACTTCAAAACCAACATGTGAAACAGAATCAGCATTCTCATAGTTACCTTTAACATGCCTGTTAGGGAGCAGAGAATCTGTTTCTAACGCCTCCTTCACTTCACAACCTACACACATTTTTCCTGTCCGTTTATTTGGATTTTGAGGTTATTCCAAGAGTTTTACAGTTACTCCTATATTCATTTAGTTGCTGCGTCATATTTTTTCTTGAAGATGGCCACTGTATTTTCTTACAGTATAAATCTACCACCCCCCCCCCCCCCCTTTTTGTGTGTGTGTGTGTGTGCCTATGGTATAACTATGACAGCAGCATCTGTTGAGTGCTGCAGATGCTGTTCATTGCCAGCAGTGAGTACTTTATCAGTCAAATTTTTAATTTTGTACTCAGAAAGAAATATTAATTTCAGAAAAGTGCATTGCTTTATGTAGATGTAAATAAATAAAGGCACGAGAAAGAGTTATCCACGTGTCTGTAGAGGAATTCATGGTTCTTCTGCGTTCATCTGAAGATGTAATTGCCTTGTGCCCGCTTACAGCATGGCTGTGATATTTTTGGCCGACACATCCGACTTCTGATACATTTGTTGATCGGTTTAGTCTTCTGTATATTCTCTTGCTGTTAGTGTAGCCACTCTATAATAAGAAACTCCACAGGGGAGCATGTACAGCAGGAGTCTACCAATCATCAGTAGAAGTAATCTCTCGTCGACAAATGTTTCGGCCCACGAGCTCCCAGACATTTTCAGAGAGTGGGCCCACCTGAGTTCATGAGGCTCAGGGTTGGTTTCCTCCTGCTGCACGTATTACTCAGAGATAAGCAAACCGTTTAATATAAAACCAGGCACATTAGAGTAAGTTCTTTTGCCTTTACATGCCAATATATTTGTCTTTGCACATCAAGTATTTGGCTAACCCGTGTTTCATGGCAGCTGGGTCTTGTGAACTTGATGAGTCCCCCAGTCTTGTGAACCTGATGAGTCCCCCAGTCTTGTGAACCTGATGAGTCCCCCAGTCTTGTGAACCTGATGAGTCCCCCAGTATTTTTACATGCTGATGATTGTAACATTTGTTTCCTCTTGTTACATTTCAGATCAGAGATATGCCAAGATTGATGCAGAAGTTGAGAATGCTCTTGTGGAGCAGATGAAATCAGTTTGGGATTCCCTCCCCTGCACCGCCCACAATGGTGGTGACAAGGATGGGCTGAGAAGTGAGCCAGCATTTTACAAAAAATACTACTCTACAACAAACGGCTTTGTTTCTCACACAAAACAAGACCGTTTAGAAGACACAGATACTGCCAATGTGAATGACTCAGCACACATTTCAAATGGATATAGTTCAATTCAGATTGACGCAAATATTTTAGATAGTGCTGATGGAGTTCTTAGTAACGGAACAGACTTTGATAACCTGCCGGCAAATGTGTGGGGTCCCCCTAACTTTGACATTATCTCTCTTGCTAATGACTGTGGGCTTCATTTGCAAAATGGTGAAAATGTGTTAAATCCTACAGAAGCTCAAGAGAAGAATGCACATAAAGTGAAATCAAGAGAAGAATCTCCCATTTTTGACTGCGCACTTCAGGCATTGGTGTGGGCGACACAAGGCAAAGACCCTGCTGTAGCATCCTGTTTGACATCCCAGAAAGACCTGCTCCCTGCAGCGCCATCATCGATGAAGGAAGCCGACCATATCCAAGTGCTGGTTACAGGCAGCTCAAAGCTTGTAGGTGTTGTTCTGTCTGTCCTTCTTCCTAATTTGAATGATTAATTCTGTTGGACTGAGCGCTGGTGCAGTATTAAGATGTACATTTATTATACGCTGATTGATTGACAACCATTTTTGCCTTGTATATTTTTAAGAACAAAACACTCACCATTGAGAGTACATTTGAGGTCATATAGATGTTCAACTCCACAAGGAGACTTGCCTGTCTCTAAACTGAGTAGCTTTTTGTAAAAGTTTTGCAGAATTATTCAAATCTTGTATGTTGATATTTATTGGCAGAAACGTGCTACTGCTGTCAATGACTGGGTGAATTTTAGGGCAGCTACTGTGTCAGTTAGTTTAGTGCCACCTTCATCCATGATTGGTAAACAATGTAACCTAGTGAAAACAACAGTCCGGCACAGTCTTATTATGGCACTATTCTATGGTGCTGTATCAAACAATATCCCAGCAGTAAGACAAGTCATCAAAGATTTGACAATAATTATACATATTTATGTTTGTTAATTTACAGCGCATGTGCAGAATGTGGACCAATGTTTTATCACATAAGCTTTCAGAATAATTTCTGCATTTCCAGTATTTCTGTTATATTAAAACTGTAAGTTTGTCTGCTGTACATATTTTGTTCTTTGGTCTTTTGGAAAGAAGAGCTGTTTACAATGTAGTGCTTTGTTTATGGCTGTCCAAAATTTTTTTGGGACACAGCTGGGCAGAAGGACCCCTTTTGCATGTCATCGGGCATTGTGGCTATATAATGTCAGTCCATATATAGACACATGCACTATTTAGTACAGAATGTGGGATGTCAAAATGTCAGATGCTTACCAGGGCATTTCCTAATAGCTATTTTGGTTGAGTCATCCTTTGAACTGAGTAAATTTTTTCTTTTAATATCTGCCATAAGCAGGATTCAAACATGCCAGATTGACAAGCAGGTATGGTTTCATCTGTACTACTGTCGGAAGCAGTATTTCTTGTAGCTTAATTCATTTGCAGGTTTATCCTGAAAAAAAATGTAATGTAAAGAAGTGAGCTAATCACGTAACTCTGTTGACTTGTGCAGTCACATGGTGTATACAAATCTTCACTAGGCTGTGTGCCGCTGAAATATCTTCTTGCTCAACCTAACATTTGTTCTGTTGTTTTGCGTACACCCATTGCCCCAACAGACATGTCAGGTGACTGTTTATGGGTGTTTGTTTCAATTCAAAGTGCATCTTGATGATAGTCTGCAGTCAGAATTTAGAAAATTGATGTGCATGCAAAAATGATTTTCTGGAACATGTCCATAGTCTAGAAGGCGACAAACAACCAGAACTTTCTGTCAGAGTCTGCGGTCAGTAAATTCTAAGAAGAAATATTGCCTACCGTGCAGCAGTGTAGTTGACACACTGCACACTTCAGTCACTCTGTCTGCTGTTGATTTGTGGTCTAGCTGTATTGCCTCATATCATTTTTTGACTGGGCAACTTTTCTGAAGTTTAAAATGATAATCAGACTAATGTACATCATCGCGGGTCTGCAACCGATGGAGAATAGAAGAGATGGCAGAACGCAGCAACAAGCAGAAAAATTAAGAACGCTGACAGATCACCCCATGTATCAGCGGTTTCATGGTCCAGGAGGGGGAAGACTAAAGTGAACAAACTTTGTAGAGACAGCAAAAAATAAGATCAGAATGATCCTATACTTAACGTATAACATCCAAACCCGTCCACATCACACACAGGCTCCCTGCTTGGAGACAAAAGCTCAAGAGAAGAATGCACATAAAGTGAAATCAAGAGAAGAATCTCCCATTTTTGACTGCGCACTTCAGGCATTGGTGTGGGCGACACAAGGCAAAGACCCTGCTGTAGCATCCTGTTTGACAACCCAGAAAGACCTGCTCCTGCAGCGCCGTCATCGATGAAGGAAGCCGACCATATCCAAGTGCTGGTTACAGGCAGCTCAAGGCTTGTAGGTGTTGTTCTGTCTGTCCTCCTTCCTAATTTGAATGATTAATTCTGTTGGACTGAGCACTAGTACAGTGTTAAGATGTACATTTATTATTTATTGATTGACAACCATTTATGCCTTGTAGCACAAGACAAGCCCTGGCTGTTAAGATAAACTTACTGAGATTTCACGCAGTCAAAGATATAATCTGCAGAACATTCACTTGTGAGGATAGCTTGTCTTCTTCTTTGCTTCTTTGCGTTCACCAGCTGTACACTCTGGTGGAAAGTTCTGGTTGCTTGTCCATTACTGAACTGCGGTTCTGCTCCAGAACCTGAGTGTTGCGTGTGCATCAGTTCTACAGATCTCATTCTCTTGAATACAGACTGTTGGTTCCTTGCCCCTCCGGCAGATGCACTCCGACTTCAAAGGAAGCTCCCCAATTAGTCGACTCTTACGACATGCTTTTGGGGAGGCATTGGGTCTATTCTTGTTTTCCCCACAATGGGGCCCCGGAACCCACACGGGGGTATAGCTTGTGATTTCTGTATAATTATGATGGAGATGAGTTATTTTTAAGAACAAAACACTCACCATTGAGAGTACATTTGAGGTCATATAGATGTTCAACTCCACAAGGAGACTTGCCTGTCTCTAAACTGGGTAGCTTTTTGTGAAAGTTCTGCAGAATTATTCAAATCTTGTATGTTGATATTTATTGGCAGAAACGTGCTACTGCTGTCAATGACTGGGTGAATTTTAGGGCAGCTACTGTGTCAGTTTAGTGCCACCTTCATCCATGTTTGGTTAACAATGTAACCTAGTGAAAACAACAGTCCGGCACAGTCTTTTTATGGCACTATTCTATGGTGCTGTATCAAACAATATCCCAGCAGTAAGACATGTCGTCAAAGATTTGACAATAATTATACATATTTATGTTTGTTAATTTACAGCGCATGTGCAAAATGTGGACCAATGTTTTATCACATAAGCTTTCAGTATAATTTCTGCATTTCCAGTATTTCTGTTATATTAAAACTGTAAGTTTGTCTGCTGTACATATTTTGTTCTTTAGTCTTTGGGAAAGAAGAGCTGTTTACAATGTAGAGCTTTGTGCGTGGCTAACCATTTTAAAGGTTTCATGGTCTAGGAAGGGAAAGACTAAAGTGAATAAACTTTGTAGAGACAGCAAAAAATAACATCAGAACAATCCTATACTCAACATATAACATCCAAACCCGTCCACATCACACACAGGCTCCCTGCTTGGAGACAGCATCACCTGACTGAGTTGATAGGAAATATTCCTAGTGGTAAACAAAAGAAAACTTTGAAAGAAGGAAAATCACATTAAACTACATAGAGAAACAATATTTTGGACTCTAGACTGACTGGCACTCATAACCATAGGGACAAGAGGATGATGGAGGCAACATAAACATCACAATCTTAGCTGCTACTTCAGGAATCTGAGCTGACCATGTAGCCTTGCTGCAGGAACCAAAATCTAGGTGGACATGTGGGAAAACCCCTCTAGGAATGCAGCCTGAAACACTCGGCGGCTTCTTCTTCTTCTTCTTTGTGTTCTTCAGCTGTAAAACTCTGGTTGTTCGTCCACTTCTTGACTGCAGACCTGTTCCATAATGTGAGTGTTGCGTCTGCATCTGTTAGACAGATTTGACACATTTGTGTGCAGACTGTTGGTTCCCTGTCTCTTTGGCAGATATACTTCGACGTCGAAGGAGACATCCAGTTAGTCGACTCTTATGACATGCTTTTGGGTGGGCAGTGGGTCTATTCTTGTTTTCCCTATAGTAGGGCCCCGGAACCCACACGAGGGGACTCAGTGGCTTAAAGAGCATCATTTTTATGTATATCTGATCTGTGCTTTAAAAAAAAAAGTTTTATAAGAACTTGTAAAAAAAGGATGTCTCTGGAAATTGAACCGTGGTGTTGGATTGATTATCATGGAATGTGTGTGTGTGTATATATATATTTATATGTATATCTGTGTGTGTGTCTAAACACACATACATACTGACAGTGTTAATTTTACTGTCATTGACATTTGTATACGTTCCTTAAATTGTCTTTCCTGCACATCTTCCTACACGGTGTTCTGTTTGATGCGGGGGCCATCTTAACTCATGGACCCACCAGACACTTTCTCAGGGACCTCATGAGTAGAGAAGTCCGGGGCTAAAATGTTTATGTCAAGTGACTTGCTATTAAACAATTATTTTTTTGTTTGTTTCTATGAGTAGTTGTCCAATGGCTACAGCACACTGGTTTGTCCAGGGGCCCTATTATGCTGCTAAGATAGGGCACACACCACAACGCTCAGTTAAACAGTGGTAACGACATATTTCATGTTAAATATATGATCCCTGATGCTAAATACTTTTGGTGTTATGTGGGCCTTTTGAAAACTTATCTCTTGACCTCTGGCATATGTTACACAACTTAAAAATTATTCTTTTCCTTGCTCCTTTTAAAGTGGATATCGAGCCTGAGAATTTGAGGTTGTAGGCTAGTGCATTTTCCATGGGTTGGGCAGGTAAGAATGTTTTTATTGTTGTGTGTCGGTCTCCTGAGAGACATATCCACCACCTAAGCCAAGGATTACAGCATGAGGGCTCTTGAGTGAGAAGCCAGTATTCTTGTCAAACAGCTAGGCACTTTTTAGTTACTGATAATATTACATTAAATTTTTTGCAGAGATATGTTTACATTTTGTTGTTGTGGAAAAGTGTCTTTAAACCATGACTTGGGCAGGCATGTCCTCTTGAGATGTGTGATATCAACTTAAGGTGTGTATGGAATCATCAACCAGAGGTGTTATGGAATCATCAACCAGAGGTGTTTGTGTATGGAATCATCAACCAGAGGTGTTTGTGTATGGAATCATCAACCAGAGGTGTTTGTGTATGGAATCATCAACCAGAGGTGTGTGTGTATGGAATCATCAACCAGAGGTGTTTGTGTATGGAATCATCAACCAGAGGTGTTTGTGTATGGAATCATCAACCAGAGGTGTTTGTGTATGGAATCATCAACCAGAGGTGTTTGTGTATGGAATCATCAACCAGAGGTGTTTGTGTATGGAATCATCAACCAGAGGTGTTTGTGTATGGAATCATCAACCAGAGGTGTTTGTGTATGGAATCATCAACCAGAGGTGTTTGTGTATGGAATCATCAACCAGAGGTGTTTGTGTATGGAGACATGAACATGTAACTGTTGTTTGTTCTGCTAGGAATACCATTTTCTCCTATCTTCATTCTGTCTGCAACATGTTCCTTTTATTGTAGACCAGTGGAAGTGACACTTACCCAGATGTTTTAGCTTTCTTTTGAAGAGCGTAGCATTCTTACCCCATCTGGCACATGTACACCAAAACTGCAATAAATCTAGTAAGGGGAATGTGTTTCTTTTTCCTTCTCCACTCACTTGTGTTGTCTTTTGTTTTCCTCATTGCATGTATTTAATTATACCAAATTTTAATATTTCATTGTAAATAACTTGTGCCTTTTCATGCCTAACTTTTGCTGAGTAAACAAAATGTGACGTGGTAAGTAGGCTAAGACATATTTCATCCCATATTATCAGGAAAAGGCGAGTTTAAATTCCCACAGGGATAAATTAAAGTCACATCTTAGGTAGCTGGATTAAATTCACAAGTGTGATCCCGTGGATTAAAGTAATGGATAGGGTGAGTTAAAGACTGAGATGGGGTCTCAGATAAAATAGAGTAATCACAGTAACAGCTTCATAATAATTTGGTCACCCCTAAGTTGTTCTACTCTTGTGTCAATAAAAACTATGCAGTTACTAGTCAGCAAAGCCAACAGCATGCACACATTAAATGCATAAGGTGTCAACACAAAAGTCTGCCTCAAGAAATGCAGTTCATCGTCAGTGGAAGCTGCAGTTACAAGGGATCAGTAGTTGCACACGAAATTAATTGCATCAGGCACCACCAGTTCTCTGGCAACATGCCATATTCTGAATCTGCTGTTTGGGGTGCACATCAGCGTGGAAAGAAATAGCTAAAGGAATAACTTAGAGAAGGTGTGTAAAAGCACGATTTAGTTGTTGTTGTTCACCTACTTATCCTTTTACAGGACGTGCAAAATCACCACAGTGTTTTTTTTTTTTTTAATTACTGTTTGTGCTTTTCTAAGCAATTATACGTTCTGAACTTATGTCATTGTTGGGTAAAAGCCGCCAACTCAACCATGGGGAATTCAGACACCTGAGCAGAACAGACCCACAGTTTTTCGCGTATGCACTGGAAGCTGCAGACTCAACAAACACTCATATAAACTGAACAGCCTCCAGAACTGTCCTCTCTTTGTGGAACGACAACTGGCCGCACCCAGTAGACCTCAACTAAGCTCTGTGGAAACCTAAGAGACCTTGGTGACATCCCAGTTCATGGCCTATGGGATTACGCGCATGACCCGAGATCGCAGAAGAAGAAAATGTAAGAACTATACCATCAGTCTGTGATAAACTAACTTCACTGGGAAACAAAAATTCAAATGGTTTGATCATCTCGTTAGAATGCAGCAAAAACAAATACCAACACATGCTGTGTGCACATGAAAAGAACCAACGTGGAAACGATAGGTCGCCGAGAATATTGGTTCTCAAACTGTGCGCCCGGGGAGACGCGTACCCTTCACAGGGGCGCCGCGAAATATTGTAAAAGCTTCATAATTAATTTAAGTTAAACAAGATACGAATAGCCAAACTTTTGCTTAGGTTAGGACGCCGTGGAAAAATTTTAATTGAAAAAAAATTGCAAACTGTTCCTCTGCACGGAACTTAACGGCAAAAGGAGCAGGAAACAAACTGATGATTTTGTCACTGGAAGCCGCTGTAGTTTAGTGGTAGGGCGCTCGCCTACGGTCCAAAGATCTTGAGTACAAATGCGAATTGAGTGTCGAATTTGGATTTTTCAGAATTCTACTCTGGTATCCTTATTTTCCCGTTCCGATGTGTCCCGCCAGTCTATTGACTATAAATCGTCCTTCTGCTTCGAGATACGAAGATAAATG